AGAGGATCAAGTGAAAATGATGCGCAATGTAACTAAAAATTTGACAGAAGAAATAGAATACTTGATTCTTGAAAAAATACTTGAGTCACCCAAAAAATGGTAAGAAAGGCAAAACAGAATAACAGCAAATAGGACAAACCTAAAAACGAAAAGATTATAGAATCAAACCCAAACACTGTCAATAATTACATGAAGTGTAAATGAACTACAGAGTGGAGGAGATGAGATGTTTGTCAGAGTGTACAAACTTCCAGTTATAAGATAAATTAAGTTCTGGAGATCTAGTGTACAGTACAGTGACTAGGTATCAAAATTATATTGTATACCTGAAAGTTGCTAAGAGAGTAAATCTTAAAAGGTTCACACACACACACACACCCCCCCCCCGTAACTATGTGAGCTGATGGATGCGTTAATTAACCCTACTGTCATAATCATTTTGCAAAATGTATGTGCATCAATCATCACATTGTATACTTTAAAACTTCTACAATGTTATATGTCAATTATATCTCAAGCTGGGGGGACTAAACACCCCCCAAAAGAGGCAAAGATTGACACATTGGAATTTTTTAACCCTAATTTTTCACTATATACAAGAAAACACACTTCAAGGTCCAAGATGGAAGCGTAGATAGATATGCCTCACCTTCTTGCACAACCAAAACAAGGAAACAACCAATTAAAAAAAAAAAACCAACCAGAACTGCCAGAAGATTGAACTGTATGGAAGTCTGACAACCAAGGAGTTGAAGAAGAAACATTCATCTGACTGATAGAAGGGGCAGCAATGGGCCGCTGGGGTGGAGAGGATGCTGGCAAGACCGCAGATGGCGGACCAGGTGGCAGCTGGAAGCCTGGAAGTTCCCACATTCGTGTGCGGACAAACCGGGAGGAACAACTGGGAAGCGAGACAGACCATGTAACCCAGGGTTCCAGCACAGGGAAAATAAAGCCTCAGAACCTCTGACTATAATAACCTGTGGCGGTGGTGGCAGTGGGAGAAATTGCCAGTCTTTTGAAAGCAAAGCAAGAGCAGAGCAAGCAACATTGTTCTCTCTCAGACCATCCCCCACATACAACACCAAAACGCAGCTACGTGGGTTGACTAACCCTGGAGAATATCTAAGGCTCTGCCCCTTACAATGTAACAGGTACACCGAGACAAAGAAATATGGCCCAAATGAAAGAACAGATCAAAACTCCAAAAATGAACTAAGCAACGAGGAGACCGCCAACACAATATATGCAGAGTTCAAAACTCTGATAAATCAGGATGCCCAGAGAAACGATTGAGGGCCGAAAAGTAAAGGAAGAAGTGAAGTCTATACCAAATGAAATAAAGCAAAATATACAGGGAATCAACAGTGAGGGAAGGAAACCCAACTCAAATCAACAATTTGAAACAAAAGGAAGAAATAAACATTCAACCTGAACAGAATGAAGAAACAATAATTCAAAAAAATGAGGAGAGGCTTAGGAACCTCTGGGACAACTTTAAACGTACCAACATCTGAATCATAGGGGTGCCTGAAGGAGAAAAGGAAGAAAAAGAAATTGAAAACTTATTTGAAAAAATAATGAAAGAAAAGTTCCCCAATCTGGCAAAGGAAATAGATATATAAGTCCAGCAAGCTCAGAGAGTCCCAAACAAGTTGGACCCAAAGAGGACCATGCCAAGACACATTATAGTTAAAATGCCAAGGGTTAAAGATAAAGAGAGAATCTCAAAAGCAGCAAGAGAAAAGGAGACAGTTACCTACAAAGGAGTTCCCATAAGACTGTTAGCTGATTTTTTAGAGAAACTTTGCAGGCAAGGGGCTGGAAAAAAGTATTCAAAAAGTCATGAAAAGCAAGGTCCTACATCCAATATTACTCTATCCAGCAAAGCTATTATTTAAAATGGAAGGGCAGATAAAGTGCTTCCCAGATATGGTAAAGTTAAAGGAATTCATCATCACCAAGCCCTTATTATATGAAATATTAAAGGGACTTATTTAATAAAAAGAAGATCAAAACTATGAACAGTAAAATGACAGCACACAACTATCAACAACTGAACCTAAAAGAACAAAACAAAAACAACCAACCAAATCAGGAACAGAATAACAGAAATGGAGATCACATGGAGGGGTATCAGCAGGGACGGGGAAGGAGAGAATGGGGGGAAAGGTATAGGGATTAAGAAGCATCATTGGTAGGCACAAAATAGACAGGAACAGGTTAAGAATAGTATAGGAAATGGAGAAGCCAAAGAGCTTATATGTATGACCCATGGACATGAGCTAAGGAGGGGGAATGCTGGAGGGAATGGGGGTACCGGGAGAAGGGGGATGAAGGGGACAAAAAAGAATGGGACAACTGTAATAGCATGATCAATAAAATATACTTAAACACTTCAAACATAAAAGAGACACACTGAAAGTTTGGCAAAAGATAAATCATACACAGTACATAAAAGCTGTTGTAGCTATATTAACATCAAAATAGGTTTCAAAAACAGTACAGTGAGGAATAGAGAGGGAAATTTTATAATGATCAAAAGTTCAAATTCACAAAGACACCTAATAAAAATATCCCAAAATCATAAGACAAAAATTAATAGAATTAAATAAAAAATAGGAAAATCCATAATAAATTGATAAGCTAAATACACAAAAAGAATCCATGAGAATATAGAATTTTTGAACAACATACCAATGTAACCTAATAGATATTTCTAGAACACTATATTCATAGATAGCAGAATACACATTTTCAAGTGATTGGGAACATTCCTCAAGAGAGACCATATGCTGAACCATAAGAAGTTTCAACAAATGCCAAAGGAACAAAAATCATATCAAGTACATTCTCTAACCACAGGAGAATTAAATTAGAAATCCTTACAAGAAAGATCTGAACATTTCCAACATTAAGAAGTTAAATGATATATTTCCTAGTAACCCAGAGGACTATTACAAGAAAAATTTTAAAACTCTTTAAACTAAATGATAAAAATATACATCAAAATTTGTGGGATGCAACTAAAACAGTGCTTCTGGCTTAGAGAGAAATTTACAGCATTAAATGGCTACGTAAGGAAAGAAGACAGGTATACAATCAATAATGTACGTTTCTACATTAATAAGCTGGAAAAGAAAAGCAAGTAAGTAGAAGAAAGGATATAATAAAATTAAAAAACAGAAATCAAGTGAAGAAAAATGGACAAAAAATACAAAAAGCCCCAACAAAGTAGAAGTTGCTTTTTCTCAGAGGTTAATGAAAGGGATGTCTCTAGCATGACTGATTAGGAAAATCAAAAATGTAAATTCCCAATGTAAAGAATGAAATGGAAAATGTAACTACATGCCTTATAGTAATTAAAGAATAATAAGAAGATAGTATGGCCATTATGAAAATGAATTTGACTCCATAAAAAAGGAATGGACAAATTCTTAAAAACTGCAACAGGAAATAGAAAATCTTAATAGCTGTATAGCCTCTGAAAATAATTACATACATAATTACAAAATTTCCTAGAAAGGAAATGTCAGGCCCAGGTGACTTCCCTAGTAAATTCTATTAAACATTTAAATAAACAATAAGGGCAATCTCATATAACTCTTTCAGAAAAGAAAGAGAATGGAATCACTCCCCAGTTATTTTATGGGTCCCGCATAACTGTGATTCTAAATTTAGCCACGGACATCCAAAGAAAGAAAATCCCCGCAACGTACATCATGAATCTTGACATAAAAATCCTTGACAAAATAAGAGTAATTAGAATTCTGCAATATATAAAAGCATAATACAGTGAGATTTGTTTATCCTAGCAATGCAAAATAGATTTAACATTAAAAAAATCAATGGAACTCAAGAATTAAAGGAGGAAATTAATACATGCAAACTTCCATTAATGTAGGAAAAAAAAACCTAACAAAGTTCAATACCCATTCACAATAATACTCCTAGCAGACTAGGAATAGGAGGAATTTACCCATCTTGGTAAAGGGTATCTTAAAAACATACAGCTAATATTATATGTAATAGTAAAATACTGAAAAAATTTCCTTCCTAAAATCAGGAACAAGGGAAGGGTATTTGCTCTCACTACTTCAACTGAACACTGTAACAGAAGCACATAAATAGTGCATTAGGGCAAGAAAATACATAAATAAAAGGCACATAGATTAGAAAGAATTAAAGGCCTGTTTATTTGCGAATGGCATAGTAGTGTTGGTAGAAAATTCTAATGAATCTACAAAAACAGCTATGAGACAACTAAAAAGGCAAATTTACCAAGACTGTGAGAGAGAAAATCAGTCTATGAAAATAAACTATAGCTCTATATACTATCAATCAACAACTAGAAAACGGTATTTTAAAAAATACCTCTTATGATGGAAGCAAAAACATCAAAAAACTAGAAATAAATCCTAAGAAAAATGTACGTAGTTCACTAAAAGTTCTAAAATATTTCTAAAAGAAATTAAAGATGACTTAAGCAATAGAGAGCTATAAAATACTCATGGATTAGAAGATTCGCTATTGTTAAGATGTCCATTCTGCCAAAATTAAAATGCAAGCAGGATTTGTTAAAATAGAAATTAACACCTGATTCTAAATTTCTATGGACATGCGAGGAAACTAAAATAACCAAAATAAACTGAAAAATGATAAAATTAGAGAACCTAACTTTACGTGACTTTGAAACTGACTATAAACCTACAGTAATAAAGACAGAAGTATAAGTAAAAGGATAGACAAGTAAATCAACCAGAATCGAGTCCAGAAGTAGATCCACATTGTTAAGACAACCTAATGAAAAGAGTAAAATATTTTCGATAAATAGTGAACAAGTGGATATACTTACTATGAAAAAAAACAAAACACTACCCTCCCATTTCCCAGCATTCACAAAAACCATACATATTCATTTTATGGAAACCAATTTCTGGTCACATAAAAAAGAAACTGATTTTTCCTCCATGATTTAAAACCTGAAAGAACAGACTTACCACTAATATGAGTTTCTGATACTTTTGTTTTAGGTCTGACACACTTGCAGATGGGTTTGCCCCCAGAACGCTGTACCAATCCTTTTTTGGTATCCGCTCAAATGCCATCATCCATTGAACAAGAAGTAGGCCTTCTCAGATCAGCTGAATAAAAATAATGATGACAATTAATTAAATTCATGACAGTTTGTGTGTACCTAAGAAATAAGCAAATACTGCTGTTCTAAGTTCTTTAATATTTAGATATTTGGTTGACTAGATCATGACTACAATGCAAACCTGAGGAAGCATACAGTTTTGTTTAAACCGCCCCAAGGATTTCATGTATAAGAGTACAGACAAGTGTGGAAAACCTGTTAGATGTTAAATGTTATATAATCAGATCTTAAATTAATCAATATACAACAGCATTAAAAAAATAAAATTCAATAAGGAAGCCGAGTGATGGGTGACCCTCTAAGAAGGTATTTCTACTTGTCTTATGGTAAAAGCGGCACACAGGAAGCATTCATTGAATACACTAAAGGCGCTTAGTAAAAGTTTACAAAACGAATTATTTTTTTTTAAAGCAAAGCAAAAGACCAAATAATTAAGATTAATTTGGGAGCACTGCCTCTTAAGTTATTCAGTTCACATTTCTTCCAAGTTATATTGAAAGAATGACACGGAGAGTCACACAGGAGGTAGCGAGCAAGAGTCCCTGTTACTGCAGACCCCGCAAAGACACCCCGAAACTATACACTCAAGGATACTGTCCGCAGTCTCCAGTCTACAGAAGAGACCCCGTCAGGAGCCCCTGAAGCCAGGAAACCTCTGCCCACAGCTGTGAACTTGACGAGACAGCCAGGAACTCAAGACTGGGGCTTGGAAATCCGCTAGATTCACAGGAAGCTGTATCGCTCAGCCAAAGTCGAGTACCTTCTCCTGGCTTCACTCGAAATCAAACTTACCAAACTTCATAGATGCTTTGGGACGGACTGCTTACAAGCAATGGGCCAACACTCGGAACCTGCTTCTTCTTCCGCCGGAAGTATTGCTCTGACGTGACCACGTTTCCAGCCGAGGCGAAGTGGCCGTGACACTGGTCGGTAGCGCCGCTCCGCCCTACAGGACGCGGTCGCTATGGTAACCAGTCGCCGCTTCCTAGGAGTTTACTAGCAACAGTACGTGCTGGAGCTGTGGGGGAAAAAAAATCGTCCTTCTCCTCGCTCTAAACTCTCTCTTGTCCCTGCTCCGTCAACGTCGTCTTTGTCTTCTGCCTCAGTAAGCACCTTCACCCCTTCGGGCAGCCCCCGCCTCCCCCCAAGCTCCCTCCACTTGCCTTACTCAGCGATGCTCCCTTTTTCTGCTTGTTGAATGCACTATGGCCGGGGGGAAGGGGTGGTGAGACGGGTGAGAATTGATTCCTGTCTAGTCTCTGTGCTTCCCTACGAATGTTCTTATTTAAAAATGAAGAGAACTAAAACTTACGCCGAATAGGGTTTTTCTTTCAGTTTTATTTTTTTGGGGGGCGGGGGGATGTTCAACCAAATTGTTTCTTTTAGATCTTAACAACCGGTTTGAGAGAGAAAATATTTCCAAGTCATTACACATTTGCTATCTGGCTTCACTTTCACTTGAACCCAGTGAGACAAGTAAGACAAGTGTTATTTTTCTCACTTTGTAGTTAAGGAAACAAACCAAGGATTAAGTCTAACTAGCCAACTATAATAGCAAAACAGGGCTCTCAGCAAGTCTACATATTCCCAGGGCAACCATGCTATCTTTGAAGCTTACAGAAAAAGCAGAATAAACTGCTCCACTTTGAGGTAGCTACGGGCATTCTATATGGGCACGGTAAACATTGGGGTTAGATTTTTCCCTCTTCCCGCTCCCTTTTTTCCATTATGTGTTTACCATTTATCATCTCTTCTCTGTGCGGCTTACCTTACGATGACCTCTCTTCCCTGCATTGCACCTGGAGGCAAAAACTACGTCTTATTTCTTGGCACTATGATTTAATTTCATTTGGAAATGTTAAGGTCGTTTTGTTGTTACTGCTTAAATTTGCTTTCCTTCTTTTTTATCTTCTACCAAATCTCAGTTTGAGGATTAGTCAAGATAAACCTAAACACCTTCAATAAAATATTTTAATATGGCCAACTGTTATAGAGAATGACTGAATGACAAAGGAAAGTAAAAAAAAAAGAAAATCTCAAACTATATGTATAAATTAGGTTCTCCATAGGATGTTGCCATTTTTAAAAATAGACACAAAAAAGCATTATACCAAATTGAAGAATCTAGTTTGATCAGGGTTCCAACATGCCTTCTGCGTAGCCCTAAGGAAATACCTAAAGTGATGGAATGAAGTGTTGTACCGAATATTCTCCTTTTCAGTACTATCCCCTCAAGCTTTTCTGGCGCTCCTTTCCTCTGCTTAGTCCTTCCTTGTATGGACAATGATGCTCAACTCATCCAGTTTTTACAAAAGAGCTCTTAATTTGTGATTTCATTAGGATATTGTATTATCTCTTTTATCTTTTTTTACACCAAATTCTGAAAAGTCTAATCACAGCACCTAAATTTCCTCAGTTCATTTTTTTACGTATTTATTTATTTGGGTTTGGAAAGTAAGATACACTTATTTCCACCCCCCTGCCCCCACCTCCAGCAAGCCACAAGTGTTCTGTCATTTGATCTTGACATACTTTACTTTGCATCTCTAAAGCATACTTTAGTTTGCAACTTTTTTTTAAATTCTGTAATGTCATTTTCTGCCAAAATGATCAGTAATTCATTGTTGACATCTAATATCTAGTCTTTATTTACATTTACATTTACAACATTCGTTGTTTCAGGAATGTCTTCTTTATGGTTGGTTTGCTTCAATCAGAATCCAAAGTCTACACATGGCATTTTGTTGTTTTGTTTCTTAAATATCTTTTAAGCTGTAGCAGTCCTACTTCACTACTATCTTGTTTTTATTTCTTTTCTTTTTCTGCCATTGGCTTATTGAAAAACCATATCAGTTGTCTTATAATCTGAATTTGCATTTATTTATACCAAAATGAATTTCTTAAAACACCTTTTTGCATGAATGTTTTTTTTGCAAAAGTAGGTTAATAATTATAAATAGTACAATAATTAATAAATAAATAATGTAAGGATAAACTCTGTGTTCTCTTCACCCACAACTGTAAATCTACTTTTATCCACACCTGTATAATGTATAACATGAACCATGTTTGTGGCCATGTAGACATGTTAAGAAAGTAAAATGAAACAAGTGAAGTGGATTTCAATAATACATTTAATTTAACCCAATATATCCAGAGTGTGATCATTTCAAAATGTAATCAATATAAAAATTGAGATATTGTATATTCCTTTTTCATTCTAAATCTTCAAAGCTGGTCTGTATTTTAACTATACGGTACATCTCAATTTGGACTAGCCAAATTCAAGTGCTCAATAGCCACATCTAAATAGTGACTACTTTACTGAACTGATAGTCAAAAGGAAAAAGCCCTGACTCCTTAACCTGGCACTCAGTTACCTTCCCAATATGATCCTTAGTTTTTCAGCCTCATCGCCTATTATCTACATGCAAGAAATGTAAACAATTGGATCTTTTCTTGATTCTTCACCCATAATTTTGTTCAGATGGTTCCCCTTGCTTATAACACCCTAGCTCTGTTCTTCCTCCTATGAGTTTTATCACTCCTGTAGATCCTATCTCTTTTATCAAGCCTTTTATGTTGGCCCAGTCCTTGGAAATTACTTTCTTCCTCTCAACTTTCATAGCAAGTTCTGTATGCATTACTCATTTGTACTCATTCTATTCAATAGGTAATTTTTATACACTTCAAATGTATGTTCTGATTCTCTAATTGGATTGTAAGATCTCTGAGGGTAGGAACACCTCTCACAGAAACTAAGCACCAGCTATGTTGCCGCATTCTCTAGAGTTTCAATGATGGGTATCTATCATAGGTTTGTTTCTTCTTTTAAGAAGGCAGTTTTTCCATTTTATAAAATTAGTATTGCAGAAATATAAACTATGTTAGCATAGTGGTTAAGAGCGTAATCTCTGGAATCAGAGTGCATAGGTTTGAATCCAGACTGCCTCTTACTGATTATGTGAACAGCTTAAATTAATCTCTATGCCTTGGTTCTTTCCTCTGTAAAATAGTTGTAATTATAGTATCTCCCTCATAGATTTGTTGTGAGGATTGAATGAGACAACAGTGCCTGAAAGTAGTAAGTACTCAGTGAAGATTAGCTATTGTTATTAATAGTGAAATATTTGTTTTGATATTCATAGCAGTACTTTAGGAATTTCCAAACAGAACAAATGAAAGCCACCAGCTATTTAATTGGAAAGATGAAACCAGACACAGATGTTTGTTGAACTATAACTTGCAGGATAAATTAAAATTATGGGTACAAACTTCTTCATTCTTTTGTCACCATTATAAACATAAGCTTAATAGATATATATTAAATGTTTTATTTTAAGATTGTTTAAGATTATTTTTTAAGACATACATCAAGGTGATTGATCAAGTTCTATATCTAAAGATAGCAATAGATAAGTATATATAGATATAAGAAGAGTTTAAGACCTTTGGCTGTAAAAAATTAAAAAATCCTTTGTTGTAATGTTAGTAAAAAAAAAATCACATTCTTATTCAACTTGTTATTTTAGTACTTGCCTGCCCATGAACTAAGGAATGGTCACCACATATTAACAAATTCTTACTTTGAGATCATATCAATAAATTGTGTTCTTAATGTTGAATAATATTTGCAATATCTACAGTATACTTCTGCTATTTTTTTCTTATACTGGGATTATATTTATTTGGCTCTTTTTTTAAATTAATTTATTTTTTCAAATACATTTGTCTCCGTATTTGGCTCTTTTACTGGTGTCTTTACCAACTCTTCTTTAATTTCCTTGATCTTATTTATCTCTGAATTTTTAGGAATTTTATATTAGTGACCCAAGCTATATTTAAGTACCACTGAATATTATGGTCATGTTCTAAAATTAAATTATTACCCCTAGAGCAATTTGAAATATACTGGGAGGTAGAACAACCACCAAGAGCCCTGGCTGGGTGGCTCAATTGGTTGGAGCATTATCCTGTATACCAGAAGGTTGCGGGTTCCCTCCTGGACAGGGAATGTACCTAGGCTGCAGATTCAATCCCTGGGTACAGGGGGCAACCGATTGATGTTTCTGTTTCACATTCTCACACTAATTTCTCTCTCTCTCTCTGTCTCCCACTCTCTCTCTCTCTCTCTACCTTCCTCTCTAAAATCAGTAACTATATCCTTGGGTGAGGATTTTTAAAAAAATACGAATGATTAGCCAGTGATGAGATAAAACACACACAATGGTATAGTACATACATACTATTCACTTATTCATTCAATCAACAGATTTTTATTGAGTATTTACTATGTGTCCTACACTCTCTTACAAGAGACATAGGATAGAGTTGTCTCTAGCCCTCTCAAAAGCTTAGAGTTTATCTGGGTAGACAGACAAATAAGGAACTGAAATATCTGTGGGAAATAGTATACCAAGGAAATTACAGGTACTGTGACAGTAAATAACTTACAGGAATAGAATAAAGCAGGTGACTTGAGTAATTGAAATTTTTGAATCAAAATTAGGCTAATCCAGGAAGATGTATGGAAGTGTTGAGTTTAAATAATGTTTTGACTGAGGTGAGACGTGAATGGCTAGCATTAGAAAAAGTTCTTTTTTTCTTGTTTTTGGAACATTATCATAAAGCTGTAGACAGCCTAATGAGTAATCCCGCCTTATCTTTCAGAAATGGTTTTTCATTTTTGCCTTTTCCCTCTCTTGCTGGTTGTCTTTATTTGATCTGTTCTCTCTTTTGTCTTTTCCACAGTAATCATCAGTGAACATTCATTGAGTTTGAGTAAGGCACTGCCTTAAGCGAGAGTCAGAGGTAAACAAAGAGATTCCACTCTCGCACCTGCTGCTGTGTTTTTGTTATTTGTTTAGCTTCAGTTGTGTC